TAGCGAGTCATTTAATATGGTGCATAGCTGCTTATTATACCCCTCGTGCATGTTAGCAAAAGTGGTATTAGCGTACTCTGCTTTTGAACGAACAAATGATTTGTACAGCTTTAATCCTACCATCGGGGTTAACCCAGCTTTTATAGATGTAATTCTTGCCAGCAAATTTTTTCCCGGCACAATAGATTTCTTGACATTTCCTATGTGCTCTTTAATTGTGGAATTAGCGCTTATTACCCTTCCTAACCATCTCATTTTTTCCACTTGCTCCACATTGCAACCATTTACTCTCACATTAAACTGTTTTCTTCTACCCATCGTCATAACCATAAATTTTGTTTTATTTAAGTTGAACTTGAGACCCAACGATTCACACAAACTTTGCATTTCCGCAATTTTATTAGTAAACTCATTACTTGCTACCTCCTCATTTCTGCTGTGCGTTATTATAGCAAAGTCATCCGCATATTGAAAAAGATGAGTATTCTCATTACAGACAGAGTGCAGTTTTGCGGTATAAATGTTGAATAATATCGGAGAGAGACAGCTTCCCTGTGGCAATCCATTGTTTACTTCGACAGAGCATTTCCCCAACGTAAGAATTCGCTTGGAAAAAAGATTTATAATCCAATCACAAATTTTTGGATTCATGCCATGTCGCATAAGTATCCTATGCAACATAACTAAATCCACGCAGTTGTACGCATCAGAGAGATCTATTACCCCCAGAAATACCTTTTCACTCCTGCACTTCATATCTGCTATCAATTGAAGCGCTTCATTCATGCACATTGTTGCAGAACGCTGCTTCCTGTATGCAAAACTTCTTTGCGGTATTATGTTACCATCCTCCACAAATTTCATAATTTCTTCTTTAATTAGCATATTAATACATTTGGCTACAACTGAAATTAGGGAGATGGGACGATAATTGCAAATATTTTCACGATCCCTACCCGCTTTTGGAATAGGTACTATTCTTATATTTCTCCACTCTTTTCTTACTATATTTTTATTGAAGTGCTCCTCCAATGAATTCACAAACGCCTTTTTTGCCTCTACCGTCAAATTCTTTAACATTTCATATGTAACATTATCCATACCTGCTGCAGTCAATTTTTTTTTGCTAATTAGTAACTCAAAATCTTCATAAGAAAAATTTACCTTAACATTCGCCACTTTTTGTTGTTCATTTGAGCCCTATCCACTGTTGCCCCCTCAACCTGTCGAACCTGATCCTTCAGAAAGCTCAGAAACTTCTCATTGTTCTCATCCTCCCAATTGCTACAACAATACTCTGTTCCACCTTTCATGTTGCCAATAAATTTCCAGGCCTCTCTTGAATTCGAATTACAGTTGATTTCATCAATTTTCCTCTTGAAACTGCTACTTTTAGCCTCTTTTACCTTCTTTTTCCACTCTGCCTCTAACCTCACTGCTTCTTCCATATCCTGCACCTCATTAGATTTACTGGCTTTTTTCCTTGCTATCACAAGAAATCTATACATTTTTCCCATTTCATCATTCCACCATGCTTTCGGCGTGTGTTTGTACCTATTTAAGTCAATTGTTGCTTCTTTCCTTGCTTTTTTAACTCCTGCCTCAAAATTATTCATAGTTGTAAAATTAATCTTTTTGATATTACTAAGTAGCTTATTTTTTGAGATGAAGTTGTTAGGTAACTTACCTATGTTATCTATCTCAATTACAATTGGTAGATGATGACTACCACCCAAATACGCTCTATGACAACACCACCTAATATCATTTGTTAAATTTGTGAACGCCAGATCCAGCACTGAGCCTGAGCTACCATTCACACTACCCACATTCATAAAAGTTTTATCTCCTTTATTCACGCACTTCAGATTAGCATTTCTGACACCATTCGCCAAAATCTTGCCCTTAGGGTGGCTGACATCATCCCCCCACTTTGCATTCCTCGCATTGAAATCCCCCAACAATACCACGTTCGTGAATTTGCCGAGAAACAGCAACAATCGACTAACCACTGCTTCAAATATCTTGCTGTTGATGTTAGGTGGAAAATACACCGAACAGATGACTAGATTAGTCACCAAGCTTGTCGTTCTCGCAATCAAAATATCATATTGCGACCTATACTTTATTTTCTTAAAGCCAAACCCTTTTTTAAAACCTATTGCAACTCCTGCATATCCATCCGCTCTTGTTTTTTAATCAAATTAAAACCCATTAGTTTGTGATTTTCCACCTTTTCATCATGAGAAAAAATTTCTTGCAACCCTACAATACTTATATCGTTCCTATTTATGAAAAAGTCTAAATTGTTTTTGTTCGCCTTTAGGCTTTGTACTAGGGCTGTGCGATTATTCGATTACTCGAGCAAGTTGGTTAATCAATTATTCGGTTAATCAATTACTCGAGTAATCAAGATTTTGATTACTCAAAACGATAATTAATCGAGTTACTTGAAATATGATTACTCAAAAAAAATAATTTTGCTCGTTAAAAGAGTTTGCTTTGGAAAATGCTTATTTTCTTTTTTACATTCTGTATATGAAAAAAATTTTTTGTTTTAATTTTTGAAAACAGAAACGTTGTTTTCAAAGTATCAAGGAACTTTAGCTACTTTATACATATGTAAAGAGTTGAAATGTTGATTACTCATTTTACTCGAAATGTTGATTAATCATAAAGCAAATTACTCAAATATTTTTGTTTTTGGTTAATCAAAAATCTTGATTACTCGAGTAACTGAACTTTTGAGTAATCATAATTTCCAATTAATCGAATAATTGAGTTATTTGCTTTATGATTAATTAAAATTTTGAGTAATCAATTAATCGCACAGCCCTACTTTGTACATTATATTGTAGAATTTTTATCTGGCTCATTATTAGTGTTTGAACTTGTAACGTAAACCCCATTAACCTCTTTCAAAGTATCTCCTATCTTTCTCAAAATTGGTTCACTTTCATCAATTTCAAACTTCTTAGTCAATAACGCCACTAACCTTTCTACTTCCGAAACTTTTGCCCAGCTTGGACTATCAAAAACCGTGTTTTTAGCCACCTTATCTTGTTTTTCCTACACTACCTCAGGTTTATCTTTCCTCTCATTTCTTTTAGCCATATGCGCGTAACTAAAGGAGGTTATTCTCCTGTTAACCACCATATCATTATTTACACGGTTATTTTGCACCCCAGAAATGGTAGGAAAATTCTCCTGATCATCATCCAGCAGTGCAAAACGATTATTTTGATCAATGACCTCTTTGTATGAATCTATAGCCTCTCTTTTTGAAATTTTCTTTATCGTCATTATTTCCAGAAGTTGTTTTTCCCTTTTCCATACCTGACAAACACTGTAATTCACCGAAGTATGCCCCACATTTCCGCAAAGAATGCAATTATTGGCTTTTACCTCACACTGACTTCCGCAACTTTCCTCCTTACCACACATAATGCATCTGTTCCTGCCTCTACACCCCATTCTGGTATGCCCCAAGCGTCCGCAATTGTAACACTGCTTTACCCTGGGTACAAAGTGCTTGACTTTAAAGTTTACATAAAAAATTTTAATCTCATTAGGAATCTCGTTCCCTTCAAACCCTATTTTCACTGCCAGAGTCGGTATTAAATTGTCTCTGCAATTTGGGTCCCTGCGCATTATTCTGGTCACACTGGTAATTTTACAATCAGATACTATATTATTCTTTATCTCAACTTCAGAGAAGTCTGTCGGTATTTGCGTAATCACTCCCACTGTTTCAATCATGCTTTTAGGAATGAAGCTCCTAATGAGATTCACTGCCAGCAAATGATTGCTTAAACTTTTGTTAGCATCTTCATGCGTGTAGAAATATATTTTAAACAGAGATCTCCCTATCGCTTTTATAGTCTTAATCCCTTCAACTTTGAAATTTTTAATTTTGTTCCATAAAAAAAGTCCATTTCTCATCCTATCATTTTCACATAAGGGGCTCTTAGACGTGTCGAACAACACACAAAAGTCACCCTTGTAGCTGCTTGAGTATGTAAAAGTATTTACACTCACCATCCTTGACCTTGTTATTACTCTTGCTGCTAACGCCTTGCCCATTAGTGTAACCCACTGCATTTGTACTCTCGCTTTGCGAATTTGTCACGTTGCTAACGCTTTGCATAACTGTACACTTGTCCAAGTTGCAAAGTGTGTCTGTGATCTCACTTTGAGAATTTGTCATATTACGAACCGTCTGTGCAACTGTACTTTCGTCCATGTTGTCAAAAAAACCTTTTTTAACCACTAAACCTTGCATCGGTATTTGCTGATCCTTAATTTTGTTCGACTTATTCGGTTTTCCATTAAGCACTTTTGCTTGCTTATTGCAATCTTCGTCCGTACCTGATTCTAATAAGCCATCATTAATACCTTTGATATTCCTTCTTCTACTTCTTCTACGCTTAACGCTTTTCCAACTCTGCACCTCTGCAAACCAATTTGCAGGCAAGTTAGAGTCAGAAGAAATTGCCTCAGCGCCATCGGGCGCTGAAGCGTCCTCCATTTTGTCTCACAGCCGCACGCACAACCACGAGACACCCAACAGTACAAAAAGAAACTTACCAAAAAAGCCACTTCAAATTCGACTTCTGCGTAAAAAAAACTGCACTCCGGCTTCGATCCTTCAAATGCTGTAATTTTTAACAATTTACACAATTTTAGCTAACAATTTCTGTTCCAATTACAAATTTGTCTTTCACACAAAATCTAAGCCTTTATACACCGTCCTTACACAATGGCCGCTGAATTCGAATTTTTCACATAAATATGTATAAGCACACTATTTAGTTTGCTCGATTTGTAAACAAAGCTTCTCATCGGTGAAAAATATACTATTGTGAACAACCTAAACGAGCGAAATTCACAATAGCGCTATTCTTCATCGTATGAGCGCCATAATACCAAATGAAAATTCGTTCGCTCAGCACTTTCGACCACAGTCGAAAATCGAATGCAACTCATAATAGGGGCCCTAGCCTTCGATATTGCCATCGCAATCGCCGGCTAAGCAACCAAGGCAATATCCGTGCAGCCGTTCATGCGTGCAGCCCTTTGCATTCGTACACATTTCGCGCCACCACCCTCGGGCAACTGACATTAGCTTAACACAAATCCCTGTCGCGTTTTCGCGACGTTCTCCAACAAACCTTGTGCGCTTTTGACATTTACCAACTTGGCATATCGCTACATTCCTGCGGCCATACAGTGCTTGTTGAGTAGTTCAGTGTGCAGTTTCAGTACAAAGCACCAAGCACAGCTCAGCTAGTCAAAAGGTGTCGAAAAGTACTTTTCAACAGTTGCGTCAGTTGGACGTCGGTGGCCTAATTGAACGTTCCATTACACATATTTGGAATAATAAATAGTAGAAACAGTGAGCAACATTTTTTGTATACCACTGGATCATCATTCAAAAAGCGTTAAAGGTGAGTTTTTGCAATTGATTTATACTATAAATTCATTTGTCATAGCCAAAAAAAATCGTTATAATACAGAAAAAAAAACTAAATTCATGGTAGGCTTAAGTAAAGGCCACTAGAAACAGTTTTAATTCATATCTAATTGAATTTGTCAATCTCTGGTATCATAAGCACCGTACTCCTCAAATTGTTGGGCTGTGAAATCTTGATTGCCGGAACTAGGGTTTAGTAATCTACTAAGGTACTTCCCAAGGTAATTTTCCACAGATTTGTGGCGTAAACTTAGAAAAGAATAGCTTCGTAAATCTGAAGTGCGTTTCTCTAAGAAATCGACTAAATTATCGATCGTAATATAAACTAAATCATAGATCACATTTACTATTTCAATCGAGAACATTGATCGAGACGAGTTACAGGAATGCATTACTGCATAGACCTTTAGACAATTTCAGATTGGTCCTTGACCGAGTATAACTTATGTATCTATATAACATTATCGTGGGAACCAATGCATTAGTATTACCTCACTAACAGGGTTTTCTTAACAGCAGGCATTACCGAATTCCACTTTTCCCACGTCCCTTGCACTTGCAGGTACAAATTTAAGGACATTTTCGAACTCACAAAATTTCTGCAATTAATTTCGTAGAATTTCATAGCATCGAAGGCCACACAAGCACATGCATATTCTATGTAGTACGTTCTGGTTGTACTCGTACTTAGTTGAATGCCACAGTAGGGGGGCTGGACAACAGAACGTGCTGACTTGAAAAGAGAAGCGAATCTTTGTTATTGTTTGAGTAAGAAATTACAAATTAACCACCCGCCAGGTCTAATCAGCAAAAAATTCTCATAATTTTCAATTGAAAAAATTACTCGGTACATAATACCAGAAAAATGAGTAATTTGTTTAAGTGTGCAGAAAATTGCTATAGTTTTCAAAGCGCGTTTACGTGGAAAAATTTAAAAAAGACAAACAAATGTACATACTGAAATATGCACGCACCTTTGGTCTGGAAAATATCCTCTTACTTTGCTGCTCCAAGTATGTAAATGTGCACGTACTCCAAAATTATAGTTGTACACATACTCCAAATTGTAGTTGTGCAGTACTCGACGTTTTAGCAAAATATATACTCACTGCAAATGGTGTTTTAAATTACCAAAGACTTCACGGCTTCGCTATTCGATTCAAAGTGATCTTTATTTCATGTTATTTTCTGACAAGCATTCTTACAGTTATGCCTTACGGTAGAAACACAAAATCACTTAAGGTCTAACCACATAATGCTTAATCTATTACTTAGAACA